TACACCGTTACTCGCCCGATAAGAACGGGTCGCCGATGGATCTGCGACAGGCCCCCGATAGCAAAACCGCACGTTCCTGGGCGGGGTGGGGCTGTCAGACCCTTATCGGCGATCAATGGGCGATCGGGGGTCGATGAGTATGGGCACCTGGAGCAGGAGCAGGAGAGAGAGGGACCGAAGAGGGACAACGAGAGCAGGAGCGGGAGGAGCAAGGCGCGTAATGGGGGGACCAAGAGGAGCAGAACTTGAGATAGGAACAGGTCGAGCACTCCTCGTCATGGCCCGGCCTTCCAGAGTCCTCAATAACTGTACATGCGCGTTCCGCTACGCGCAAAATAACTACTCGCAGATGGCCTGGATCCCGCCGTATTGGATTTACGACCCAGTACACAGAGGAAGACAGGATTTTTGTGGCAGACGTCTGCGAATGGACACCTTGCGAGTAGAAGCACGCGCCCGGTGAAGAACTGCCCTCCAGACGTTTGGGCGCGCCTGGGCCGCACATCCGCCGCCGTGCCCCTGGCACGAAGCGGAGCGCCCCGAGGCTCATGGCGGCCCTGAAATTAGAGGCCTGGAACTTGGCACCAACACCAGCACAGGGCGTTCGCCTCCACATGGGGAAGATTGCCTAAGATGTCGGCGCTGGTGGTAAGATTTCGGTCACCTCGAAGCCAGAATATGACCACCATCACCGAGATCGGGTTTCGTCCTCCCTCGGTGGAGGCACACCGCCGATCTTGGTGTTGGTGTCAACCTCTAGGCCTGCGGTGAAAGGTAGATGGACTGCAAGGCTCTTACGGGCCGGACCCCCGACGTCCCGAGCGGTCCCCGGCGGCCCCGGGCGATGCCGGGGCGCGTCGCGTGGGCCTCCGGGGCGGCGACCCCGACTATAGGGGGCCACGTGCGAACCCTACCCCTACCCCCCACGAGTTCTGAGGCGGAGGGTGGGGTTCACCTCGCTCGGGAGCTCCCGAACGAGGTGAACCCTACCCTCCCCCTCAGAAATCGTGGGGGGTAGGGGTAGGGTTCGCATGTGGCCCCCTACCGACGGACATGTCCAAAACAAACTGCAGAATTCGTGAAGGCGTCCCAGAGAGTCCGAGAGAAGGCCTCTGGCCGACAGACTGGCTGCGATCCCCTCCAGATGGCCCAAGACGCCCCACGAGGCCTCCGAGAGCACCCCCGAAAGGGCCCCGAGAGGGCCCCGAGAGGTCAAAATCATTGATGTTGTACGGGTTTGTTTTAATGTTTGGGGGGTTCTTGACGTGTCGAGTTTCCGACGCTACCTGACGGCTCGAAAAGCCCCCAAGACCGCCCCAAGACAGCCCAAGAGGCCCCCAAGAGGGCCCCAAACCGGCACAGGAGGCGCTCAGGACGGCCCAGAGGCGACCAGGACGGCCCAAGAGGGCCCAGAGACAGCCGCCAGAAGGGCCCAAGAGGGAGAACACCAACTGAAAACCCGAGCCTTCCGCTAAAGATGCCCCCAGGATGCCCCTAGGCGGCGACAAGAGGCCTCAAACAGACCGGAAGAAACCCCCGAGAGGCCCTCAAGAGGCCCCAAGAGGCCCCAAGGGGCCCCAAAACGGTTCCCAAGAGGACTCCAGGCGGCCCACAAGAGGCCCCACGCGACATCCCAACGAACATCTTAGAGGCCGATGACCCACAACCCAGGCACGGTGGCGGACAAGACCGAAAGTCACTAGATAACCTCGATAAACTCGAAGGTCATGGCGCCATCTGTTAGCCCTGCTGAAGATCAGGGTAATACCCTCCTTCGTTCCGTCCTCCCTCTCCTCTCCTGTTCACTCCTTCCTCTTCTTCTTAGGATTGTTATTAGCACTACTACTATTGGCATTACTTCGATGACTAGCATAGTAGTACGATTAGTAGTAGCATTCGTCACCTAATCATTATTGTTCGTGGTGTTACTATTCGTAACAATATTAGTCTGATTCTCATTTTGATCCTTAAAACTCCGACGATTGCCATTATTATGATTGATACTTATAGTATTTGTCTTCCTCTGCATCTTCTACTCATCATCGTCCGCAAAGTGTGTGTGTGTGTGCGTGTGCGACTCTCCTCTCTCCCCGACTTGATGTCCGAGCGAGAGAGAGAGAGAGGGAAAGACGCCTGACGCCCACCCCCTGCGGGGAGCGGACCGGCAGTCAACAAAACCTGCCTGGGCGGGCCGCGGAGGGTGACACGTGCAAACGCCACCGATAAACATACTCACGGGGTACGCGCCAACCCACCCCTTGACAACCCTGCCAGTTCGCCTCCAATCGGGGATCTCCTGACCCGTGCCAATCCAGACCCGGATCAGTCAGGCTTTGCAGAATCCTGCAATGTCCCGCGAGATCCTGCACCCAAACCCGGGTCAATGCGAAGGATCCTGCAAGATCCTGCGGGATCCTGCACCCAAACCCGGGTCAATGCGACCCTGCCCCTGCAGGATCCTGCAAGATCCGGCGCTCTGGCTGACCCCCGTTTGCATTGA